AAAAAAAAAAAAAGAAACAAAAAATCCATTCAATATTGACAAAACCTATATAATATCTAAGGATAAATGTAACAAGAAAAGCACAGGACATATATGAAGAAAACTATAAAATCTTATTAAAGTGCCCCCAAACAAGATGTGAACATTTACCAGTTCTCTCAAAATTAAATGCAAGTTTAATCAAGTTCCAATTAGAATCCCAACTGGTGTTGCCAGGTAAAATACAGGATGCATAGTCTAATTTGAATTTCAGATAACATTGAGTAATTTTTTAGTGTAAGTATGTCAACATAAGTATGTCTCATGCAATATTTGGGACATACTTCTACTAAAAAAATATTGCCTGGGTGGCTCAGTTGGTTAAGCGACTGCCTTCGGCTCAGGTCATGATCCCGGAGTCCCAGGATCAAGTCCCGCATCGGGCTCCCTGCTCAGCGAGGAGCCTGCTTCTCCCTCTGACCCTCCCCCCTCTCATGTACTCTCTCTCTCTCTCTCTCTCATTCTCGCTCTCTCAAATAAATAAATAAATCTTTAAAAAAAAATATTTCCTAAATCTGGCAACCTTAATCCCAAAAGGACTGGAGGTAAGGGGAGAACTGAATAAAATGATTCTAAAGTATATGTTAAAAAACAAATGCTCTACAATTGTCAAGGAAAGTAAGAAAAAGCAAAATAGTGACAGAAGATGTATTCAGGCCCTGTCAGGACTCTCATGACATACCTGAGCTCTGATGCAAGAGTTTAATGCAGAGACTATTGACAAAGATATGGGCAGAGTTAAGGGGCCTACCAGGGAGGGTGAAGCCTTCATTAACAAAAGCAGGAAGGCATTAGTTCCAAAGGAACAAGGAGAGAAAATAATGTCATCAGAATCACCTAAGATAGCTGTGACCAAGGCAGAAGCGCCACCTAGCTGGAGCGGGCAATTGATAGAATAAAGTTCTAGAAGGAAGAGATGGAATCTCGCCAGGGGAAGAAGGTCACTTGTAGAGCAGAAGGAAGAGAGGTAGTCAAAGACTGAAGAGCTTCAGTCAAAGACTGAAGAACAGAGAAAAGAAGTTGAAGAGTTTTTTTCTAAGAAGGCTTCCTCTTGCCTGAGGAGCAGTATCTGCTAAGATGCTTCAGGAGCAGGCATGAGGCCTTCACTGAGGACTGGTGTTTCCACCTTAGGCAGAGAAGCCAGGGAGACCGTGCATATCATCAACAAGGAGGAGCAGGGGTTCCATTTTGCCTTCCAGGACAACTCCCGATATTCTGAAGGTTTCAGCAACAGCCTGGTGATACGTCCCATGGAAGGCTGGATCCCACCACTGTCCAGGTAAAGAAAAAGTCCCCCACAACTACACCCTCCCAAAATAGGGGTTCTAGACCTGCTAGCCAGGAGAATCCATTCCCCTCAGAGTGCCCTATATCAAGTCTCTTCCAGCTCTAAAATTTATATGAACAATCCCATCCCTGTCCTATTTATTTCCCATTGTTCATTTTCCTGATAAATTGTAAAGCACTGAGAACTTTAAGACCTTCTTCTCAATATTTTCTCTCCTGTTTATATTCTTTTCCTTGCTATCTATGAATTCATAAAGCAATGACACACCGTGTCTGGCTAATCTTCCAAACTCATCATAATTTGGAATGGTGATGCTTTTTCCTCATAGTGCATATGCTAATCCATCAGGCTCATATTCTTTAGCAGGTTATAGCAGGTTGGCCTTGTCAGCTAATCTACTGCCTTCTTCCCCATCCAGGTTCCCAGTGGATATTTTCTTCACACCAAAACAGGAAGGAGATGTGAACTTTAATTTGATCTGCAATGTGAAAAAGAAAGCCCACCCTCTGACCTTAAATGTCAAGGCTGAGGGATACACTATGAATGCAGAGGTCAAATGCAAGGACAGGACTGGCTTGATCACTCTCCTGACTCCTAAAGAGACTAACATTATCAACTTCTATGAGGTAGGAGTGTGAGAGAGCCTTGATTCATTCTCTCTCTCTCTCTCTCTGTTTCCACACTGGCTGGGAAAGGCAGTACAAGTGAATGTTAGCTGAATCTCTCTGTTTCAAATGCCAGGGAGACCAGGAGAACAGAAACAGAAGCATCTCCATCCTCAGAATGCATATAGTTTTGATGTGAAAACTTATTTTATATTTCAGGGGGTGGAGAGATGATAGGGAAGGGAAGAATCCTTGTATTAAACATACAGGAAGGATGTTTGTCTACCAAGGGAGGTCTAAAAATTAAATTGCTATCTTACTCTTCAGGTATGAGGATCTCCAACACTTAGTAGCAGTTGCTGGAATATCTGACTACATTAATCCCATGATACTCAACTCACTAACATCATCTGTCATCCCTATTTCCCAAAGGATAGTTTTCCCCAAAATCTTACATATCCTAACCCCAGAGAAGGGAACCATGATTTGCATTCCATCAACATACTACTCTGTTCTCTGTCTCTCAGGTAGAGCTGAACGAATGTGTTCAGTGTGAACTCAGCTTTATCAACACTGGAAAGTTCAACTTCAGCTTCCAGGCGGAGCTCTCTGGCCCCAAAGCCCTGCTGCAGTACTTGGAATTTTCCCCCATTGATGGCAGTGTGGATGTGGGACAAAGTGCACATGCCTCCTTGTCTTTCCAGCCATTTAAGAAGTGTGTCTTGAAGGGCCTGGAACTCAGAATCAAGGTGAGACCATTTAACATTGTCTGACCCTGAGAGCACTCACAGCACTCTGTCTTTAGAGATTAATTCTCCTGTATGTTCCTTGTCTTGTCCACCCTGCCAGAAGCTCCTGGAGAGTGATCATGTTGCAGATAGTCTCACAATCTCTAGTATAAAGGCCTTATCCACAGTTGAGGCACCTGGTGAGTAAGTGTCCATTGAAAAGCAGTTGACCATCCATGCACTGGAATCCTATGCAGCTATTAAAATAAATAAGAGAGACAGATGGGAGGTGGAGAGGAAGCAAGAGAGACAAAATATGTGTAACATTTTCCAAGATAAGTTATTGAATGAAAAAACCAAGGAATTATGATGTCCGCAGGAATGGCAGAGAAGGACCTTTGAAGAACTGCTCTTCATAGTGATGAGAACACTGGCAAAAACTAGCAAAACAACCTTTTTCAGAACTCTTGAAATTAACCAAAGGCTAGCAAGAATCCTAAGATCTTTTATTTGAGAAAAATGGCTGAATTGTGTGTATATGCCTCATTTTCTTTATTCATCTGTCGATGAACATTTAGGTTGTTTTCACATCTTGACTACTGTGAATAGTGCTATACTGAATATGAAAGTGTTAATATCTCTTCAAGGTCCTGATTTCACTTCTTTTGGATACCAAAGCCAAACAAAGACACCACAAGAAAAGAAAACCATAGGCCAAGATCCCTGATTAATATAGGTACAAAAATCCTCAACAAAATACCTGTAAACCAAATCCAAGAATACACTGAAAGGATCATACACTACCACCAAGTGGGACTTCTCTCTCAGATGCCAGGATGGTTCAACATACAAAAATCAATTAATGTGATATCTTACATTAACAGAATAAAGGATAAAAATCACATGATCATTTCAATAGAAGTGGCAAAAAGCATTTGACAAAATTCATAACAAAAACTCTGAACAAACTAGGATTAGAAGGAAGTATCCCCACATAATAAAGGTCATATATGAAAAGCTCACAGCTAACATCACACTCATTCATGAAAAGCTAAAAGCTTTTCCTTTAATATCAGGAACAAGGCAAGGATGCCCATTCTCACCACTTCTGGAAGTCCTAGGCAGAGCATTTAGACAAGAAAAAGAGAAAAGGTATCCAAATCGGAAAGAAAGAAGTAAAATTATCCCTGTGTGCAGACAACATGATCTTATATATAGAAAACCCAAAAGATTCCATTAAAAGAATCTGTTAGAATTGGGACACCTGGGTGGCTCAGTCAGTTAAGCATCTGCCTTCAGCTCAGGTCATGACCTCAAGGTCCTGAAATTGAGGCCTGCATCAGGCTCCCCAGTCAGTGGGAAGTCTGCTTGTCCCTCTTCCTCTGCCCCTCCCCGTGCTTGTGCTCTCTCTATCAAATAAATAAATAAAACCTTTAAATTAAAAAAAAAAATCTGTTAGAATTAATAAAATAACTCAGTAAAGTTGCAGGACACAAAGTCAACAAACAAAAATCAGTTGCTTTTCCAGGAAAGAATGTCCAATGGAACAAAGACAGTCTCTTCAACAAATGGTGTTGGGAAAATTGGATAGCCACATGCAGAAGAATGAAACTGGACC